CCCCAAAACCCCAAAACCCCAAAACCCCAAAAGATAGGTCTTTAGTATTTTTTCAAAAATCAGAAATGAATAGGAAAGAAATATATACAAAATGTGAATGACCAGATTCCTCATAATTAAACTTATTGATAAAACACTTTATCAAATATTATATTTAAGTAAATTATCCAAAAAACAGTACTTGAACAACCAATGAAGATCAGTTTTGCTATAGCCTTGTTTGCTGGCCTTTCAATTACAAAAGAGTTCTAGGGCATTAATATTATGGCATTGAATTCTAACGTACCTGCTACTAATTTCTAAGCAAATTTATACTCTACTTCAGATACCTTAGCACAAGTCGATACAAAGAATGAGAACAATGATTAAATAATGTCTGACGTCTACCATAATGCTAATGACTTCTTTGATAAGACTATTGAAGATATGCACAAGAACAAGCAAAATATGGATAATGTAAACAAGTAAGCCTAAGATATAGTTGAGAATATGAAAAAGAGTTCACAAGAAATGGTAGACAGATTTATTGAGTAAATGAAGGAGCAAACTGAAAACAATGAAGGTCAACAGTAAACATAAACATAGACCTAAACTTAACAGAATTCAACAAATGAAGAAGAGAAACCATAGGTAATTGAAGTACCAACTAGTTATGAAACTTAATAAAACAAGACAAATTCTTACAATTCTTCAAGTTCATCAGATTCATAAATTTCTAATTAAGAGAATAGGAATATTGAAAAGGACAATCTTAATAAATAGGAGGAGTAGACAGAGTAAGAACAAATCGATCCAGCAATTAAGAGTGCTTAGGATGCTCTTAATTAATATGACTAATAAATTTAAGAGATGATTGACTAAATAAACAAGAACCATGACAAGTTGAATTCTAATTAACCCAGTATGAATTTAGTTTCACTTGAAGTAGATCAGATTTCATCCTCAGAGTAAGTCTCAGGAAACATTAGCCTTTTTGTGGCATTGACACTACTATTTATTATTTCTACTTTGGGATCATTTATATTATTTGCCTATAGAAAAGCAAAGAAGAACTCCATTAAGACTCAAATCTTTAAAATCAATGAAGTAAAGCTAGAAAGAAGATAAAAAATTCTAGTAGATGTTGACATTGAGACCCAGCTTTGAATTCGGAATTGTTAACTTATTCATCAATTAATATCAATCAATATTTTCAATTTTTATCAAAATATTCTCTTATAATAATATGGCAATCTTCCTTTCCGGGGTTTTGGGGTTTTGGGGTTTTGGGGTTTTGGGG